GCCCACCTGTGCGGCCTCCCCGGCGCCCAGGCCGCGCGCACCACGCCTCCGCAAGGCCAACCCCGCCGCGAACTCGCCGGCCTCCCGTGACCCCTACGGGCTACCGTCCGCCTCCCCGGAAGGGGCGGGACTTCCGGTTCCGTGCGCTGGGGCGGCTTCCGGCGGCCGGGTGTGGCGTAGGCCTTCCTGGCCCCCTAGTGCTGCCCGCGGCGCGCTCCCTCCAGCGCCCTCCATGTGGGCCGGGCCAGGCCACCCGTCATCTCCAGGGAGGCCGCGGGGATGCCCCTGTGCGGAGGCCCTCACGTCGGACCGAGAGCCGCAGGTTTCTGAGTCAGGAAAGAAATGTGTTCCGAGTTGGAGGCATTTACGTGCCGGGTGATCCGGTACGACACATAACCCGGAAACGCCCCTACGAGGACGCGCGGTGTGCAGATACGGCGTTAGGGTCCAGGAAGGTCGGATAGGACGACGGACAGCCGGAGGCGCGGCGCAGCCCGAGGAATCACGACGCGTGCGGCCGGGGCCAGCCTTACCCGCCTGTGCGGAGACTCAACGCGCCAGGACGTCGACGGCACTAGGCACGCTCGTGCCCACGTAGCCGTAGCGCGCATGTTAGAAAAGAGGACGGTCTTGAGTCAATGATCCCTTTTCAAGAAGTTTTTAAAAGAGCCAAACAAGACCTGCTAAGTAGGACAGGGAGAGCGTCAGGAGCAGGGATGAAGGTGAACAGGCTCAGAGCTGCGTCAGGAGCAGGGATGAATGAAGGGGAACGGATGCGGAGCTACATCAGGAGCAGGGATGAAGGAGAACAGGCTCAGAGCTGCATCAGGAGCAGGGATGAATGAAGGGGAACGGATGCGGAGCTACATCAGGAGCAGGGATGAAGGAGAACACAGGAATGAATGAAGGAATGGTCACAGAGCTACATTAGGAGCAGGGATGAATGAAGGGGAATTGGAGCTACGTCAGGAGCAGGGATGAATGAAGGGGAACAGACGTAGAGCTGCATCAGAGCCGTGAGCCGAACCTTTCTTCCCGTTACTAAACCAGTTTGGAGTCCGCAGCCTGCAGCTGCCCATGCGGGGCTGTTCACCTAGGAAATCAAACCAGCTTTCATTCTGTTTTCTTTGGAGACAGTTCACCACTTCATATAGTGGACTGAAAAAACCCACAAGTTGAGTTTTTGTTTTAACTAATAGAACTGAAACATTTGATACTATTTTTTTTCTTTCTATTGCCAGAAGGCATGTGTGCTTACAAGAGCGAAAGAGAAAGCCCGTGTGCATGCACACACACACACACACAATCATGCCCTAATCTTTGCTTCTCCGTTTTTTTCCATCCTGTCAGGATTTGGAGCACATACAACAGGTGCCTGGCATGTTTTTTAAGCCAACTGGATCAGAGTTTGGATCATAGTCCACCATGTGGCATCAGGGCTTTAACCACTGCGCTACAGGGCTGGCAGCTTGAGCAATGTGAGAACCTGTATCAGTAATGGAAACTACAGATACTGTAGGTAAACATCAAACCGTTTGAGGAGATCTCAACAATTGAGTGCAAATAAAATTTAGATAGATGTACAACTCTCAAGATAAGTTACTAATTCAGGAGTAGAGAATATGAACAGGAGTTTGACACCATTAAATAATTTGTATCAATAGTAAAGCATCTTCATAATCACAGGTTCTAGGCACATGGCTCCCCCAGTAAGTTCCTCCAAACTTTGAGACAATTCCAGTCTTAGTACATAAAGCTGCTATAACTTCTGTATTTATTACAAAATCTCCAAATCCCTGAAACAATCTCTTCGGAGCTCATTTCTTCTTATTTATTTTATTTATTTATTTATTTATTTATTTTTTTTTTTGGAGAGATTTTTGCTATAGGGTGCGTGCACTTGCCAGAAAGACAAAGAGACAGAAAGCAAGAAATCAGCCCCCCCAGTGGGGATGGCCACGCCACAATCCCTTCTCCTCCATTCTTGGGATCTTGGGCACACACGCATACACGCCTGGCGTGAGTTTAAGTCACCAGGTCCAGGCCTCGAACCTTGGTCGACTACATGGGAGTCCAGCGACATAGCCATTATGCTAACTGCTCGTCCCTGGAACTCCTTTCTTGAAAAATGGTGTAAAGTGACATGAGACTCTATGGTTGTTACTTATCTCACTTAAGTGATGGTGCTATGTTATGCTGTAGAAATATTAAAGTATTTGATTCTACATGTTGTACAAGTTGTTGCTGCAAGTGTTATACAAAATAAGTTGCATGATCCATAGTATGTATCAGTGTCCAAAAATGTCTTTATCTGAAACACATCTGGCTCTGTGGATTTCAAGTAAGTATATGGACCTGTATGAGAAAGTATCTGTGACTCTGGGAGTGAGACTTTTTAGCGATGAAGGACGAGATTGATAAATTCAACTGTAGTTATATGTCACTTGACAATAAAAGTACATCCTGAGAAATGCATCCTTGGGCAATTTTTCTGTGGCTGTATGGGATAGCCTATCATGCTCTTATGGGGCTATTGTCACATATGCATTTACTGTTGACTGAAATCTCATTATGCAATACATAACTAAGTGAAAAAAAGAACTTTGGTTTAGCAAACAGTGCCATAAAATGAGTCCAAAAGACAAGTCACAATGTGGGAGAAGTTTACAAAATAGACAATAAGTAACCAAAATATATAAAGAATACTTACCAATGAATAAAAGACTAAGTTAGTGTTTCAAATGGGCAAAAGGCTTCAGTAGGCACAGTACCACACAATGACCACTATATGACAATGCCAGCACCCTCACTAGTGGCCCCAGAAACAAGAAAATCACAATGCAACACTATTAGACATCCACCAGCTCAAAGGACATTCACAAATTTGACAGTAACAAATTTAGTAAGGATGAAGGAGAGACTTCATATTCTGGTGGTATTATAGATTGATAAAATCACTTGGGGAAATAATGTGACATTGCCCAAATGAAATGGAAGATAAGCACTTGCTATGACTCGAGTTCTACAGAATCTGATGCTCTAATCTGCACTAGCTAAAACAGCCTACAAACCTAGCATACTGACGACAGTGCGATGATGCCCTGTGAAATGTGCCTGACCAGTCACCTTACTGCCTAAGGGCAACCAGTCAGCTGAAGAGTCGATGCTTTCTCTGTCTCTACTTACATGAAGTTCAACATGCGAAACTACTGCTTAGGATGCAAACTGAAGTGGTAAAGCCATATGCTTTGAAAAAGGCAAATAAATGGTTGCTACAAATGTTTTTCTCCAGGGCAAGGAGAGAAACGTGATCAGGGAGGGGCACATGGGAGACTTCTGCAAGCAGACAGTGTTCTATTCCTGGACCTGGGTGTTTGCTTTATAATTCTTTCATTTGCTTGTCTGTGTGAGAATATATCACACTTTTTAAACAAATTTGAGTAATCATTTGGCTTGAGAAAGGTCATGTTTAGTAGATTTGATTTACAGAAAGGTAAAAATAATGGTCGTACTGAATAATACATTTAGCATCCCCCTTGCTCTTTGAGGTTAAACATCAGTACCCTCCAGAACTAAGTGCCACTGGGCACCGGAGCATCTCTCTGGCCAGTGGCAGGTCCAAGGCACAGACAGGATGGCGTGACCAAGAGGTCTGATGATCCGGAATAATGTCCCGGCTGAACTCTTGACAGGTCTGTGTTTTGCCAACTGGGAAATGCTGGCTTAACCGAGACGGTGAAAATGACCAGAAGAGAAAGTTAGAGCTGCTGATTAGAAGAAAAATTAACACAGGATACCAACTGCAAAAGCCATAGTCACCTTAAAAATGTCGACGACTCTGGGAAAACAAGCGTGTGGGTGCCACGAGATGATCTCAGATGTGCTGTTTGGACACAGGGTGCAGCCTCCCGCCTGTTTGGAGGAGAGGGGGCGAGAAGCCAGCCAGTGTGAGGACGTGGGGACACCGTGTGCCGCCAGCGGGAGGCTGGTGGGTGTTCCCTAGTCTGAACCAAGCGGGTCCCCAAACTGGTGGGCGGGGCCAGACAGACCCAATATCACCCAAAATGGACGTGTTGTTTTTCTATTGCTGCCCACAGACTTTTATTTATAATCTGTGCTGTTTTACAAAGCAGCTCTCATAGACACCTACTCAGGGACACGAACGAGAAAAGTTCCTTCGACTTCAGCGTTGCCACAGAGACCCTTCTGAATCACTTTCAGGTCTTTGTACAAGCTCCTGGTCTTTGTCTTCCCACTAGCTAAGGAGCTCTGAGGCCCTGTCCTTTTCCCCTCCACATGCTTTCCTCGACAGTCACTTCCCCTAAGTTTTAGCCTCAGCCAGTGCTTTTATCAGAAAGTCTCGCAAGACCATGTTTCGGTCCCTAAAAGAAGCTTTGTACCAGTTTTCTGCTCCCAGCCCCCAGTGGACCTCTCCAGCTGTTTGTCTTTCCATCACTCCACTACGTTCAAATCTGGACACCTCACCCTTTCTCAGAGTTCTCTTCCTAAGCCGTCCCTTCCCATCAGTTCTTCCACAAGTCCTTTGCCAGCTGGAAACCCTAGAAACCTCCCCCTTTTCTGGGCTTCCTGCCTCATGCTTACACGGCCAAGCCACTTCACAGATGCCGGACGCCTGCACAGGGAAGCCACCGAGTCAGGCCTCGGGGACACAGTCAGGTAAGGTAAAATCCCAGCCCTCAGGAAGCCCAGTGTGGCGAGGGCGTAGGCCACACTGTCCTCTGGTAAACAGTGACAGGGTGTGAGAGAGGTGCGCACTGAGACAGTGGAGCCCAGGAGATGATCTGCCCAGAGCAACCCAGGAGGCCAGCATGGGCAGGACCAAAGGCAACGAGCCGGGTGCACATAGGCAGTATTCCATTCTAAAAGGGTTAAAAAGTGATAAAATGGTGTCCAAAGCACATGGACTTTGATCAGACCCTCATAAAAAATTGAAGTAATTGTTGGGACCAGCAGATAGCATAATGGTTACATCCCTGGACTCTACCTAGTCGATCATGGTTTGAGTCCTAGACCCGGCACCTTAAAACTCATGCCAGGCACATGGGTATGCATGCACAAAATCCCGAGACGAGATTGGAGAAGAAGGAGAGCGGCGTGGCCATCCCCCCGGGGGATGATTTCTCGCTTTCTGTCTCTCTGGCAAGCGCACACTCTATAGCAAAAATCTCTCTAAAAATATGAAGTAATTGTGAAGAAGTGAACATTTTAAAGTTGCCTTTACATATTTTCATGATATGGCAATGCTAAGATATTTAAACCAATTAAAATCTAAATGACAAAATAATGTCTGTGAAACATAAGAATAGAGTTGCGTTTTTATCTAATTTTATGAAATTTTATCCAGTGTGTATTAGGCCCAGCCATGGTGTCACGAGTGGTCGGGATGCCACCCTGCGATCCTGGAGCCATCTGAAGACCTGGGTTTGGATTCTGGGTGACCCGGTGAACCAGGGGCATAGGTGACTGGCTGGCTGGGAGGCCAGGGGAAGGAGTGTGGTGCGATGAGACCCTGACAAAGCACCTGTCCCCTTCTCCCTACCTTCATAAAATAAATAAATGGATATTTATAAATGAGTATATGTTTATAAAATACTTTGTAAAAAAATACGTGTTGAGTGTCCAAAGTCCATCTGGCTATCACTGTAACAGATTCGTATCACATCACACCCACCGATCTGCTCTGGGCCTGTATGCGTACACCTTCAAGAGTATTATGAATTGCCAAGTACTGCCAGATGCTCTGCTGTCTCTAAGCGCGATGGTTGTGAACAGCACGCTGGTCTCTGAGTGCCTCCAGCCCGGTGAGGCACAAGCCAGTGCTGTTCTTCCTGGGGAGAGAGGTCATCGTACAGGGTCTACGGGCCTCCTGTCTGATGTGGGCGGGCAAGTCCGTCTCTCCATTCTCTTACTGAAGCCCTCGGCCACACTGGCCCTGGCTGCACTGGCGGCCTCCCCACGGCTCTGACGGCGGCAGGGGCAGTGTGTGAAGCTGTCACCTGGGACACAGTCCGCTCAGAGGACTGGACCAGTCCAGAGAGGTGGTCTGGAGGACCTGTATCCCCAGCTGAGTGCTGGGGCCCAGGGCAGAGCCACCTGCTCTTCTCGAGCAATACCTGAAAATATCTACCACCCCTTATTTTAAAATCTCCTTTCCCCTCTGGTGGTGGACTGCTGACCTCCTGGGCTAGTGCCCACCTTCGCACTGCTGGCTTGGTGACTCTTGTCTAATTCACGCTTGTCACTGCTGACCTGAAGGTTACCCAGTGCCCTGTGTCTCCTGAGCATTCTAGTGGAGCGGGTGGCTCTGCGGACAGATCCCTTCTGCATGGGGCCTCTCCCGGTGCCTGCTCAGATAGGCTCCTGTGTCAGAACGTCCTTGGACCCCCAGGCACCCCAGTGAGACAGGAGTTAGACCTGTTTACAAGTAGGTAGGGCAGGGGCTCCGAGAACAGAGCCCCTGAGCTGTGCGGTCCCTGGCTGTTAAGTCCCCCCACCACCCCCGGTTTTTGTTTGACCCTAAACCCTCTCCTCTCCCAGTCACCTTTGCCCTTAAACATGTGAACCTTGTTCTTTAAGAAGCCATGGCCCTTGCAGTGGGACTTAATTAGACAAAGACCAAAAATTCAGATGGACTTAGTCAGGAACACGGATAATGTAAGAGGATTATCCCGAAGACCAAAACGCCCTCCACTGACAGGCAGGACCCTCCCTGGTCCTGGGGGTGACTTCTAAGATCCAGATCACGAGGTCATCAGATTAACGGAGATAGTGACCTCTCCGAATGAACAGCCTCTTTACAAAGCCGTTTCCAGCCAGCCCCCATTACATAGGGTCTCATGACTGCGAGACCGCCCTGAGGGGCAGCATAGCCTGCAGGGCCTGTGACCCCTCTCCCGAGGCGAATGCACACGTGGCAAGCCCAACGACCCCCCACCCCTTCCCACCCTGCCCCAGTTCTTCCTCAGCAGCCCATTTTTCCAGTACTCACTTCTGCTTGAGAGCTCTGCTTTTCCTCCCCCCTCCACCACCATTTTTTTTAAGAGAGAGATTTTTGCTTTAGGGTGTGTGTGCTCGCCAGAGAGACAGAAAAAGACAGAGAGACAGAAAGAGACAGAGAGATAGAAAGTGAGAAATCCCCCTTGGGGGGATGGCCACATGGCATTCCCTTCTCTTTCAGTTGTGCTCTTGGGATTTGGGGGATGCATGCACATATGCCCAGCGTGAGTTTGAAGCTGCTGGGTCTAGGATTCGATCTGCAATCAACTACGTGGGAATCCAACGACTAACTGTCATGCCATCTGCTGGTCCCTTCCTCCTCACTCTCAATAAACTCTGCTTGCTATCCTCTCTCCACGACTACATCCCTATTTCCTCGTGAGAGTTAGACAAGAGCCCGTGTCCCGCTGCAGATGCTGGGCCTGGTGGCCCCTGCACACCATGTCCCTGTGTCACCAGAGTGTCAGAAGCACCCACACCCTCCTCGGTCTTTTCAGCTCTGTGGTTGAGGGGATCCAGAGCCTCCCCTCAGCTCCGTTTGCCTTCATGGTGCACGAACAGAGCTCTTCAGCGGGACCTGGCTACCTCAGTGGGGAGTGGGCATCGCCGGGCCCCTTCTCTCAGCTGAGGCTTCCCTGCAGCTACAGGGGCTCCTGCCAATGCTCACCGGGCGCAGGTTCAGATACAGTTTTCATCTGCTCAGTTTTCTTTCTATAAGTGAAATCCCATCTCTTCATCCTCAAGGACTCCTCAACATGGCTGAGCCTCCGTTTCCAGGGCTTGGGGTAGCGAGGAGGTGGGCACTCGTGCGCCATCCCAGTCTGACCTCTTCTGCACTTGTCTGCACTGTGAGAAGCATTCTTCTCAAAGTGGGAGGAAGCAGAATGGAACGGAGACCCCGCTGCTTGGCACAGGACGCCACTGCCCCTCCACGTGGCTCCCAGCCTGCTCCCCCCACCCCCACCCCTCGGCAGCCAGAAGCAGGGCATCCTTCCCAGCCGCTCCGTGCCCTTTCCAGCCATGACAGACATGGGCTTCAAGCTTCTTGGTCCCTTCAGGTCTGAGAATGTCCCAGGTGACCATGGTGCTGTTGTTGGCAGACAGCCATGGAAACCTCCCACCGGCTGGGGTAGTCCCTCCGAGGGCACCCATGCTCCAGCCTGAGCCGTTCCTCACGTATCCAACCAGAGCCCACGTCTGGGACAGAGCTGGCCCGGGCCCTGTGCGCATTGGCTGTCAGGACCCTGGGACGGAGCTGGCCCCCGGTGCCCTGTTCGCATTGGCCATCAGGACCTCGATTCGCACCTCTGCTCACAGTCCACGCAGCCCTGGAGCTGGGTCTCACCCCACACCTCTCCCACGGTGGCTTTGTTTGGACATAGGCCCTCACACTTCCTACTAGTTATTCCTTAAAATCTTTTGAAAGTGGCATCCACATAATAAACGCAGCTCCTCCTTGGAGGAGTTTGAAGGTCAGGGAGGCCTGGTGGCACAGGTGGGGTTGCTGGCAGCCTGCTTCCCCATGGGCGGGCTCCCCCGGAGCCGAGCTTCCCTGCGTCTGTGCATCTGGCTGCTCAGAGGCGGGGAGAGCTGCAGCCGAGACCCTATCGGCCATCCTTGTCCGTCTCTCAATAAATAAATGAAACTTGAAAAACCCTTGGAAGTTACTAAGTTAACGAACCGCAGTCTCCGAGCTGTCTGGTACGCGGCAGTGTGAGACAGCTGACACTGAGGCCAACAAGCTTTGAGGTCCTGTCCCTTCCCCAGGAAGGCGGGAGCTTTTGAGTAGAGCCGCAGGAGAGAACAGGCGGCTCAGAGACAGGCACGAGGCAGGCAGCTCAGAGCGCAGCGCAGCGCCCGGTCGCATGGGCCACCGCAGAATCCCGCATCTGGGTGGCTTATCATGACCCAAACTGATTTTCCACAGTCTTGGGTCCTGGGAGCTCCGAGGCCCAGGGCACGGCAGGTCCCATGTCTGTGGAGCCCTTCCTGGTTCACCAGGGCAGCTTCTCGCTGGCTAAGTCCTCGCGTGGCACAGGGCCCTGGAGCTCTCTGGGCCTCCTTTAAGAAGGCATTGATTTCACGCGTGAAATTGCCACCGTTATCAAACCAAAGGCGCTGCCTGCTACGCCCCACGCAAGGGATTCCTTTCAACACATGCACCGAGGGGCACAGCAAGGCTACAGAAGCAGGCCAAACGGGAGGGGCGGACCTAGGGCTGCTGCGTCTGTGGCAGGCGATGGGGACAGCGGGAGACATGCTGAGCAGAACAGGTCAGGTTCGAACACAGACGGTGTCCGGGCCCTCGGGGCCTTCACAGTCCACGACAGGGAGCCACTGGAATTGACTGGGCATGAGAATACGCGGTCAACATTCCCTGTTTATTCCGGCTCCTCGCTCCAGTCTGCTGGGATCCTGTTGATTTTCGATCTGCAGTTCATGCCATGAGCTATTCCTCCAGCCCAGCCCCACAGCACAGTGGGTAAGCATCCACAGCTGTGCTTCTCTAACTCAGCTACACAAATGCACAAAAGTCCTAGCCCTCGTCCTGTCCCCAGAAGCGACCTCCCTCCAGACCAACCTTGGACCTCGGCTTTGCTTACCCGGCCAGGTGACCCCTGTGCAGCCCCAGGGCAGGGGCCACTGACCACGCTGGTGCAGCCCCACGTGTGACTTCCGGCCGCCGTCCCATCTGACACTCCCACGCGCCAGGGGATGAGGTCCCCACGACAGTGATGGTGCGGGCCGAGCTGCAGTGCCCTCCCTGCCCCGGGCACCGCCGCACCGTTCTGCTCCTGAAGGTTGCTGAGACCAGAGAAAGCACAGATTTTAGCAAACAGACCACTCAGAAACCTGCAGGCACTGAACACTTCAGTCTCTCTCTGGTAAACACGAAGAGTTGGCGGCTTTACAAGATAAGAGGACTTGGTTCTTGCTTGCGTTTACTGAGATTAAATGAAAAGTTTTGATGTAGCACAGGACAGTCATGACTCAGCACGGCTTAGCCAAGTGGACCTGAGTCTTCCGGACATGTCACAATGATCCGAGTGCCAGCAAAGCCCTGGCCGCTTAGGCGGAACTACAGGTTTCCATGGAAACCCGGGGCCCATAGCCAAGAACTGCTAGGAGCTGAACGGCACGGAGGAGCTGCGTGCGGGGAGCACGGAAGCTCTCTGTTAACGGCGGAGGCTTTCTTGGTCAAATTTACCTCCTTGTGCTCAAGTCTGTTAATGGCGGGACTGGTTCTCATCGGCCAGGCAGCTTGGGCTAGCGGGGACCGGGAAGCTCACAGTGTCTCCTCTCCGCCATGTGCCACGGACCAGCAATCTCCAGTGTAGTCTTACCTTCATTTCAGAGAAGGGAGTTTTCCCTAACTCGTTAATACTTCCTCATCAAGCTTGACGAGAGAAGTTACCAAGCGTTTCTTGTTTCTGAGCAAAGGAGTTAGTAATGACCCCTGTCCAGGCTCACCTGCTGAGCCTTCTCCCAAGGCCCTGAGGCTGAGGCAGTGCTGGGCCTGGGTCTGTGTCACAGCACTCGGGGACAGTGCTCTGCTGCTGTGCGGGTTCAGGGAGCACCTTCCACTGAGCAGAGCTGGCGCTGCCCTGGCGACCGGGCTTCCGAGCGCAGGGCACTGGCCACAGAGCTCCTTGCACACTCGCTACAGCTCACAGCAGGTAAGCACAGGGGCACGAATGCCTGGCCAGAAAGCTCTGCGCCTAGTTATAGAAGATCCGGGACTTGAACCCCCAAAGTCCAGAATAGGAAATGGAAGACACTCTCTGTGTAACACAGGAGAGGCCTGTTGACTTGGCAGCGATTCTGTCTCTCCTGTGTGACTATCCTTTGCATCTAAAGTAGCTGTGGTCTAAGTGACAGGTCTCAGGGTAGGCTTCCAGGTGGTGGTGACTTGGCAAAGGGGAGTGAGTGTCACTTTGTGAAGATGGTGGGAAGGGCTCCGGCAATCTTGTTCCAGCACCTCTCACAATCCAGCAGCTTGAGAAGTAGGCAGGCCCCCCATTTATAAGTCAATTTTATTTTTATCATAGTAGTCTCCATCCAAAATCTTTGTTTTTTTTTTTTTTTTTTAAATTAAGGGAATCTTTCAGGAAGTAGTCTCCTCTCTCACTCCTGAATCTCAACTCTTCTATTTTCTTTATCTCCACATTTTAAAATAGCATTTTAAAAGAATTATTAATTTGCTTTTATTTATTATTCTTCTTTACTTTGACCATAGGGGGACAGAGAGAGAGAGAGAGAGAAAGTCACCGTGTTCAGGACTTGAACCATGGTTGGCCATGTGGGAGTCTAGTGCCTTAACCACTATGCCACCTGCCAGTCCTTAAATAACATATTTCTTTTTCATTTTTTTTGGAGAGGTTTTAGCTATAGGGTACGTGTGCTCTCCAAAAAGACAGAGAGAGACAGAGACACAGAAAGTGAGAAATCACCCCCCAGGGGGGATGGCCACGCCACAATCCCTTCTCCTCCGTTCTCCTCTCGGGATCTTGGGCACACACGCACACACGCCTGGTGTGAGTTTAAGCCACCGGGTCCAGGACACGAACCATGGTCGACTACATGAGAGTCCAGTGACGTAGCCATTACACAATCTGCTGGTCCAAATGGCATATTTCTTAACTTATCAAGTTTATGGAATATATACTGATTCGTGACCACATTAAGGATAATATAAATAAACACGTATTGAGTATTACTTTGTGTCAACTATTTGAGGACTGAAACTGACACCTTCCTGTGCTCCAGTTCCCCGGAGGCCCGGGAGGCACGGTACCCGTTCCTAGGCAGCGAGCCTTGCTGAGGCCGGCCGCCGGGTCCCAGTGGTCGTGACTGCTCCGCACCTGGCCCCGACCCCGCCTGGTGTTAGCAGACAGCAAAGCCCTGGCCGCTCTGGGAAGTGAGACTCGGGCATCCTTACTACTGAGACAAACACTTCTTCTTTTAACCAGTGCCTATCCTAAGCATTTCTAAACCCACCTGTAACCGACACGCCCCTGTCCTAGACGTTCTTCTGCCTTTCTGGGCCGGGCCAGTCTGTCGATCCACAGTTCTGCCTGCGCCTCCTGCTCTCGGGGCTACACAACAGTCGTGGGATCCAAGCCACCGGGCACCTTCTCGGGGCTCTGGAAACTGCTTACAGGCCACAGTCACTCACGAATGTGGCTATGGATAAGCCTTTCAAAACATTTTTTACAGCGTTTGGTTATTTCCATCGACATATTTTTATCAGTACATTATAAATATTGACTTGTATTTTTACAGAAACTCTTTAAAGTAAGTAGTATCACTTGCATTTTATGAATGAGAAAACCGAGGTACAACAACTTCAGGAGCTTACCTAAGATCACGCTGCCAGGTAGAGATTTGTGAGATCGGGAGAGGAGGCCTGGCTGCACGTGAAGCCGCCACCTCGGTCCTGAACAGGACTGCGTTTGCAGCAGTTGTATTTCCATTCGATAACAAGCGTTAGATGAATGTATTTCCGTGCGGTGTTCTAAGGCAACCAGAGAGCATTCCTGGCTTGGGCCTCCTCTGACATTGAATGCTTTCCAGCCTCACCAGCTGCCTGAGCCCCATCACTGCAGGGGTCTCCCCTTCCCGTTCCTATTTTGCCACCTTAAAACTGGGATGTATTTGTTGGCGTTGATTAGGAGATCTTTGTCCATCTCTCCCACCCTCTGAGGCAAGGCCCATCTCCCCAGGACACCAGCCTCGCCCAGACAGAGCCTCATCCACAGCAGAGCAGCTCAGCTGAGCCTGAGTCAGCCCAAGTGCAGTCGCCTGCAGAGTGGGAGCAAGCCCTCGCTCGTTCTCGGAACCCACCCACTGAAGGCCAGGAGGGTTTCAGCACAGCACGTTCGTGCATTAGCTGATGCTATGGTCTGAGCGCTTGTGTCCCCAGAATTCACAGGTTAATGTCCTCACCCCTGAGTGATGGCATTAGGAGGGGGTGCTTGTGGATGGAGATGAGGCCTTGAGGGTGGATGGGTTTGGCACTTGCATAAGAGGCCCCAGGGCCCTTTCTTACTGTCTTTCCACCACATGAAGGCATGCCGAGAAGACAGGAGAGAGAGCTCTCCCCGAGCTGGCACCCTGATGTCAGACTGCGCCTCTGGGATGGTGAGAAATAGGGCATCGGAGCAGCCTGAACCAAGACACTGCCCGAGGACAGAGGGTCACCGCCCTGTACCCCATTCCTGCAGGGGCACACGAGCTAGCTCATCATTTACGGAGTTCTGGTCAAGGAAATGAATGGGCTATGAAATGAAACTAGCTCCGTGAATGGGTCTTTCCGGATGTGATACTGACTTTGAATCGCAAATTGAGCTTGCCAGAAATACTGGCTGCATCTCAAAAGAATGCCTCCATCGAGCTTTCCCAGTGGCAGAGGCAGCAAGGAAATGGATGCAAAGCTGTCCCCGCAGCTCTGACGATGTTTCTAGTCCTGCTCTCGAGGGCTGACTCTCAGGTCTAGACTGGAAGGCGACCAGTGGAAGCACACTGCCGCCGTTTCGTAGGGTTATAAAGCCGGAACTGTACGGATGCCTGAATTGGTCAGTATCGACAGAGCGTCGAAAAGGGCACATTCCAGCAGAGCGTCATAGGACGCGAGGAAATCACCTTAGCTTTTCTTATTCTGTGTGCAGAAAAATTCCCGGCTTGTCCACAAGACGGCAGACCGGTCAGACGGCGTGTCCTCCACAGGCTCCTTAATGCACATGGGCTTTAGAATGGATTTCTTCATCCTAACTGAGGTAAGGAATGACCTGGCAACAGCCTTAAAGAGGCCTAGGAGCCCCCATGATTAGTCGTTTGGAAATATGCAGTGTTTCCTGCAAACATTAATTATTCATTCTAATGTTAATAAAAGCACCAATATCAGATACATTTCTAGTTCCCATAAAGTTAAAAGAATGTCTATTTTTAGTTTGACTTTCCTGCTTGTTGGCTTTTCATCAGAAATTCACCCTGAGCTCTCTCCGCCAGAGCTCTGCCGGGACCAAAGGCCCTCCTCATTGATTTTTTTTGCTGTTTGTGTTGCTCCTGGCCTGACCGATCTGGCCACATCCCCTCTGAAGGCTGCCGGCTCCCCACTCCATCAGCTGCTTAGACAGCCCGTGGCGCCCACGGCAGGCCCAGGCGGAGCTCAGGGTCAGCTCGCTTCCACCGCTCTGACGATTCTGATCACCTCGCCTGTTCTTTGATCAGAAATCCATATTTTTATGCGAACTCTCCAAGTGTCGTAATGTTAGTTCAAATGCCTTTAACATGAAGTCAACATAGACTCAACGTCATCCCTGTATGTAAGTTACATGTCACAGACTTTCCGCTCTCGGCTTACCCTTTCTTGCCTCTTTAGTTCTGTTTTCTTTCTGGTCTTAGTTCTCCATGATATGAACTTGAACAACGCCTGCTCAGTGGCACCTCGTCTTTACACCTCGCCGGTCTCTGCCCACTAGCCCACTGTGTCGTCCATTCTAGCTCACACCTTCTCCTGCACTCCTTGCTTCACGGCTGTCGTCACAGTCTATTTTGTTTAATCCTGTTTCCACCAGTTGCCTGTCTTTTTTTTTTTTTTTTCCTCTTGTTTTTATTTGTGGCAGAATAGCTACAAATAAATCTGCCATTTTAACCATTTTGAACGGCATGGTTTAGTGGCATTAATTACACTTACATTGTTAAATAACTATTGCCACCATATGTTTCCAAATTTCCATTCTGAAGAGAAATTCTGAACCCTGGAAGCATCAAGTCTTTATTCTGCCTTCCTGAAGATCCTGGTAACCTCCATTTCCTTCTGTCTCTACAGCAGAAAATCCACAGAGAACCTCCAATTCTAGTTACTTCCAGCAAGTGGGATCAGATGGGGTTTGCCCTTCCGCGTTACTTCACTTAGCATAACGGCTTGAGGGTGTTGGCCTGTGTATCACATTTCTGGTTTTGACTGATGGCATTCCGTTGTACGCATACATCAGCTTTTGTTTACCCTTCCTCTGCACAGATGTGGGAGCTGTCTCCAGCTTCTGCTTATTGCAGAGAACACTGTAATGGAGACTAACAAGTACTAACTGGACAAGTATCTCTTCAAATCCTTGTTTTCAATTCTTTTGGGGTATATATCTAGGAGTGAACTATATATTAGGGAAGTAGAATTCTGTGTTTCACTTACTGAGAAAGTTCAGAGCTTTTCCAGAGTGGCCATGCCATTTTTCATTCATAACGTATGAGTGTTTCGATTCCTCCACATCCTCACCAACATCTGCTATTTTCGATTTAAGAAAGTTTGAGGCCAATAGGTGGCATGGTGGTTAAGGCATTGAACTCCCACATGGCCAACTGTGGTTCAGTTCCAGAACTGGCAGCGCGAATATCACACCAGAAGTGTGTCCAAAATCTCAGAAAGAGAGCGGAGGGGACGAGATTGTGGTCTGGCTGACCATGGGCACAGTTTCTCAGTTTTCCTCTCACTGTCTCTCTCTGGCTGGTGCACATGTCCACTGGCAAAAATCTAAGAATAAAAAGTTTATTATTACAGTGATCCTAAGTAGGTTTTAAGGGTATTTTACTGTGATTTTCATCTTCCTGGTGACTAAAGATGTTGAGTCTTTTTTCCTGTGCAGTTTGGCCATTTTTGTATTTTTATTAGAGATAGTTTATTCAAGTCCTTTGCTCATTTCCTTTATATATGTGTACATATACACACACACATATATATGTATATTTGTCATTATTTATTTATTTACGTGACCAGAGAGAGACAGAGAAAGGGAAAGTGAGAAAGCAAGCTGTCAGGCCTGGGACATGAACCACAGTTGGCCATGTGAGACTCCAGCATTCTAAACACCACCTCACCTGCTGGCCCCCTTCGCTCATCTGCATGTTGTTGAGTTTTAGTACTTTGTATGTGCTGGATATTATTAAAGTCTTATTAGATATGTAATTTGGAAATACTTTCTTCCATTATGTAGGCTGCATTTTTACTTTCCTGATAATTTTCTTTTTGTTAAAGAATTATTTAATTTTATTTATCATTCATTTATTTTCATTTGATCAGAGACAGACAGAAAGAGACAGAGAGATAGAAAGCGAGAAATCACCCCCCAGGGGGGATGGCCACCAGGTCCAGGACTCAAACTGTGTTTGGCCATGTAGGAGTGTCCAGAGCCTTAACCACCACATCACCTGCTAGCCCACGATAATGTCCTTTGATGAAGTCTGTTTATCAGTTTTTTCTTTTGTTGCTCATGTTCTGAGTGTCCTAAGATTCCATTGTGAAATTTAAAGTCATAAAAATTTGCTCCATTAGTTCTTTTGAGTTTTAAAGTTTTTGCGCTTATAATTAGGTTTTTGATACATTTTTAGTTAATTTTTGTATGTGGTAAAAGGTAGGGTTTAAACCTTATTCTTTCCTTTCCAATATAGATTGCTTTAATTTATTTGTCTCCTTATCGAATTGCATTGGTACAACTCCCAACACAATGTTAAAGAGCAGCGATTAAGCAAGTATATCTGTCTTGTGATCAGAGGGAGAGCGTTCAGTCTTTATCATTGAGTATTGTGCCGGCCATGGGTTTCCATAAACGCTCTTCACTATGTTGAATAAGTTCACTTCTATTCCTAGTTTTCTAGTGTTTTTATCGGAACACAGATTGGATTTCTCAGATGCTTTTCCTGCATAATTTGAGATGATTGTGCAGGCTCCCCTCCTCCTTTGTTATATTACTGTGGTGTGTTGTGTTGATTGTTTTCCTCATGTTGAGCCACCCTTGCATTCCTGGGATAAATCTCATCCGGTCATCTTGTATAACCTCTTTCATATGCCGATGTATTTGGCTTGTGAGATTTTCACATTACTATTCATAAGGGGCCCTGTATTTTCTTTCCTTGTGGTGACTATCTGGGTTTGGTATCAGGGTGGCATTGGCCTTATGGAATGAGTTAGGAAGTATTCTTTCCTAATCTTTTTTTTGGAAGACCATGAGAAGAGCTGGTATTATAATTTATTTATTTGCTTTTCTGACGGGTCACCAGTAGAACCATCTGGTCCTAGGTGATTCTTCTTTGTTGGAAGGATTACTATTGGGTTGTTGGGAAAGTCATGACACATTTTTGCATAGAAAAACATAGAAAAATACATTGTGCTTTTCCAACAACCTTCTATAACTGAGTGATGGCTTTACTTACAAATCTGTTGAGCTTTCTATTTCTTCTTAAGTCAATTTAGGTAATTTGTGTGTTTCTAGAATTTAACCATTTCATCTCAGTTATTTAACGCATTATTTTGAGAGGTTTCCTTGGATGATACAAGCTAAAAAAAAAAAGACAACAAACAAATAAAACAATCAAACAAAAATAAAAGCAGCTTAGAGGAAAATGCTTCTTGCAGTTGTATAGATTGGATTTGTACCGTGCCCCCCTTCAACATCTGGCCACACTTGCACAGAGCTCAGGGAACACCTGTAGGTTAGAGTTTAGGGCCTTGCTCAGAAGTCCCACAGGGAAAGCTTAAGCCCTTTTCTGAGCGTGTTCTTTCTCCCGGGCATCCACATGGCTTTCTGAATTCTCCAAGACACGTGGCTTCTTTTGAAAATTCTAATTTTCATAATAACTCACCCTTGCTTTTGCTTCAGGCAGGTCAATGTTTCCACGGTAATCTTTTGTCCCTTGGATCTGAGTGTGCAACATTCGTCACTCTTCTAGCCTGAGTTCTGAGTTAGGCAAACCAGAGACGAGTGCCTTCCATCAGTCCCGAGGAGCTCCCAGACTAGACTGAACAGATAGGCACAGTACTGTGGGTAAAGCCCACTCTGTTCTCTCTGGTCCTTCTCTGGCTACATGGGCCACTGCTTTGAGACCAAAACGACTGCTGTTCTGGAAGGCCAGGGGGAAGGAGATGTGAAAATGTCATGAAACTTTCCTACCACTGCGAAATGCCTTTTCCTTGGTTCAGTGCTCACGGTGGTTATAAACTTGACTGTTTTACAGAGTTCTGACAAAGTTCGTACTGATAGTTCCTGTTATGTTTCTATGTTTCTACAGGAACGAGAACTTGGAGCAGCCAACCTCACCCTTTTGCTGATGTCAGCCTAGCCCAGGCTTTTTGAAGTCTGTCCTTCTGTGATCTCTTTGTTCTCAGCATCTCGCACCGTGCCTGGTACAGAGAAAGGCTAGAACGTGTTGACTGACGCGTCAACCTTGCTGAGCATCTAGGTTATTGCAGTGCATGGGTGCGTGTTCACGGCCCTGTCCAGTGTGTCGCCTGGGAGCCTCAAGGCTCTGCAAGGACCTAGACCCAGGAAGAACCTCACGAATGGGGCAGGCAGAAACCTGGGATGGGGGCAAGCAACCAAGAGCCACAAACACCAGAAGTCTGAAGTCTGAGTGTAGATAAGTTGTGCTGACTCCTATTTGTGATGATTCGTTTTCGAATGCTTCATGACGTGTGAATGTGGTACATCCACGAATCCTAACCTGTACAGACACCTAGGATGACTTCGCCAGCCCTGTAAGGAGGGGGACACTGCAACGTTTGTGCCTTGTAAGGTGCACAGTCTTCAGGCCCTAGAGTCTGAGGGGTCAGCAAACTATGTTCCATGGGCCAACTCTGGCTTTCTAGGAACACAGTGTAACTGGAACACGCAGTCTCCACTTGAGAACAGTGTTGAGCGTCATTTGCACTATAAAGACAAAGTCAAATCCTTGCAGGATTCGAGGCCGTGTGGTTGTCAAGGTCTGAAATATTTTGTCTGGTGCCTTCCATCGGGAAGAACGAAACAGCTGTTGCTATCTCTTCTATTTCATGATACTTGAAGGATAGTTTGGTAAGGGATCCTTTCTTTACCTCGTTATTTTCTTCCTTTTCACTTTAGAAGATTCTCACTGTTCTTTTGTGTTATGATTAAGATGTTTAATGCCACCCCAATTTTTTCTTTAGTTTTGTAAGTGGATTTCTATTTGCTGGGAAATTATTCTTCTTCTATGGAAAACCAATGGTTTTAACAGAACGTGTTTGGGGATTGATGAGTATCAGCCAATTTTCTCATCTACACAGACTCAGGTCATCCTTTTTCCCCATAAGATTATTAAATTAACAATTTATGTATACTTTTAGAGATTTATTTATTTATTATTATTATTAAATTTGACCAGAGAAAGATACAGAGACAGAGAGAAAGGGAAAGTGAGAAAGCAAGCTGCCAGGTCCAGGCCAGGACTCAAACCATAGTCAGCTACATGGGAGGACAGTGCCCTTAACCACCATGCCACCTGCTGGGCCCCTGAATTAGCAATTTGAGTATAATGTTCTAATATTTTGTTTTCTTTTTAGAATTTAAAGATTTGTATGATTGAGACGTTGGGTTTTTTTTTTTTTTTGCTAATCTTATATAGCGATAACTTTTCCTGATCTTTTTGTTCCTTTTTATGCATTAGTTTTGTTTGAATTCTCTTGATTTTTCTCATGCTTCTATTCAAATATTCACTCAAAATAAGGTCTTAATTTTTAAATTCTTTTTAAAAAATTATTCGATTTAACTTTAGTTATCCACTTATTTATCTAGTTTGACCATAGAGTGGTAGTATGAGAGAGAGCATGAGAAAGCAAGCTGCCAGGTCTGGGACTCGAACCTGGTCAGCCATATGGGAGCCCAGTGCCCTTTGCCACCATGCCACCTGTTGGTCTCATAAGGGCTTAATTTTTTGAGATAATTTTGTTTTCTTCAATTTATTTCCTGAGTTTGGTTCATTCTATTTCACATTTAAAAATCTTTTTCTGTTTCTCTTCTGAGTTTTAAATTTCTGATTCAAAGGGTTTTTTCGTAGCTTTAAAGGCTTGTTGTGCAGTGATATTCAGTTCACGTGGTAGGTCAGAACTGGGGGGGAGAGGTTAGTGACTCAAGGCAAGAGTGGTTAGAGCTCCTAGTCGTAAGCTGGTCACTGGAATTTCCCCACGTGCACCACCGCATCCAACACGGAATGCATTCAGCTTTCAAGGCTTTTCCGTAACAGTGGGCACAGTGAACCCACAAGTCAGAGTTTGCAGGGACTTTCTGGTGGAACTCTGATGTTTTCATTAGGGACATAACTCGGAGAGAGCTAGAGGAAATCTAGAAACGTGCTGGCCACTCCCCGCACCGGAAGGGTGGGCTGCCGAGTGGTCAAGACAGCCCTCCACTCTAGATTCAGTTGTCCCTGGATTTATAGCGAAAACTTGACCATCACACCGGTCCCTTCCCAACGGTCACCACAGACAACTGGCATGACGAGGACCGCCATAGAAACTGTGGGAACTGTGCACGTTTACTGAAGCCCAGAGGGTATTTATTTAGCCTACGCTGAACAGGAAGAGCTCTGTTCTTACATTTGCTCTCCGAATGGGACTGCGTGTGCCAAGGGCGACAGAGGAGGACACAAGAGGCATGGTCTGTCCTCTCAAGGACATCAGTGTCTAGAGAGGGCAACCGTCTTAGAGCAGGGCAGGACAGGCAGAGAAAGCGCAGTGGAGGGTCACAAGTGGGCGCATCAGTCCCTGTGGAGAAAGCGAGGAAGGCTTCACTGGGAAGGTCGTGAAGTTGACATTTAAGGATGTGCAGGCTTCGGTCATGCAGAATTCACCGCAGCACCCAAGCAAGAGAAGGCAGCACATATCTGAGAAGTCGTCCGAGTGATTGAAGGGCAGATGAGGGTCTTGGACAGGCAGATGGGTTTGGAAGGGTCAATTACCACCAATCTGTAGGGGCCCCGAGTACAGGCCAGAAAGGGAAGTTTATTTAGTAAAGTGCAGGGGGACCAGCCGTAATTTGCACACCACGACATCTACCCGAGGTGCACAGTTCACTGAGTTTAGCACCTCACAGGATGGAGCCACTCCCGCCACATTCTAATTTCAGGACAAACTGTTTTCAGAATCGGAGACACAGAACTCCGTATGAAAGCTTGGCTCGGTCTCCGCCACAGCTTCCCCTGCCTCGTTCCCGTCATCCTCTGAGGCCCTGGAGGGCAGGAGCCCCGGGTGTGCATGCGGGCATGTGTCCCTGGGCACAGTTCTGCCCTGCGGGCACGTTCTGGAGAGGCTGACAGCGCTCTGCATCGGAAGGCACAGACAGGGGGCCCCAGGGGACTATGGTCTCCACGCCCTGTCTGGGCTTCACTTTCACTCCTTAAAGGAGCCCACATGAAACATTCTTTAATCCAGACTGGTCTGGAGACAGCAGCTGATAGATTTGATTGATTCGCCTGATACAGGAGGAATGGAGCCTGCGTCCCAGGCTCCACATCCCATCTGAGGATTTTCAGCTCCTGGGTCTCTTCCAGGTTTGTTGAAATGCATGCCAGCCCATGGTTGGAATTCTCATGTGTGTATGCATGTTTGTGCATGCATGTATATGCACACATGTGGGTGTTATATATAACATAAACTTCATCACCTCGACCATGTCAAACACATGGCCCAGCGGCGTTAGCTCACTCACTCACTCACGTGTCAAGGACACGGCCCAGCAGCGTTAGCACACTCACTCACTCACGTGTCAAGGACACGGCCCAGCAGCGTTAGCACACTCACTCACTCACGTGTCAAGGACACGGCCCAGCAGTCTTAGCACTCACTCACTCACGACTGTGCTACCGTCACCACTGTCCGACTCGACTTTTCACCTTCCCAAGTCAAACTCCTTCTCCATGAAACACAGCCTCTTCACTCCCACTCCCCATACCCTGTTCCACTTTTCCTTCTGTGAGTCCGACCGTCAGACCTCACTTCCGAAGACTCACGTGGCATTGGGCCCTCGGGTCTGGTTTATTTTACTTCACGTGATGTCCTCAGGGTTCATCACTGTAAGAACACGTGCCACAATTATCTTCTTTCCCGGACCAGCAGATGGCGCAGTGGTTATGTTGCTGGGTTCACACATGGCTGACTGCGGTTTGAGTCCTGGACCTGGTGGCTTACAACTCATGCCAGGTGTGTGTGCCCCAGATCCTGAGAGGAGAACGGAGAAGGGGTTGTGGCATGGCCATCCCCCAGAGGGTGATTTCTCCCTTTCCCTCTAACTGGCTCTGCCTTTCTCTCTCCAATGAGCACACACGCTCTAAATCTCTAAAAATAAATAGGAGTAGTTTTATCTTATTCATGACAGAGTGTGTTTGCGCATGACAGAGAAGCACCCTCGCCAGGTCGGGGCGCACTGCTGCGGCCCTTGCCCAGCCCTCCAGCCGGTCGGGATCTTGGCACGTGTTTCAGGTCTACCAGCCAGAGAGCCAAACCCTGGGCACCCCTGTGGCTCCTAGCACTGCGCTCAGCTTGCTGCTGACTGCCCGTGAGGCCAGGCCAAAATTTCCTTCCTTCTTCCTAAGGCTGACGAGCATTCCGGTGTACTCATACATACGTTCTGGCTGTCTGTCTGTCCACCAGCCAGCACATACCGTTTCCACCTTCGGCTGTTGTGAACGTCGGTGTGGACGGAACTGTGCAGGGAACGCCTCTCTTCCAGCCCCAGCTTTGATTGTGAGCCCACGGGAGCGAAAGAGCATTCCCGATGTCTCGCTTCACGGCTTACAGAGGCAGTCTGGCTTCCTGGTTGAGAGCCCCGCGGTGTGCTGAAGGTGACAGGCCCAGGTACCCCTCCCAGCACATGCAGGGACAAGCCAGGTAGCGGAGATCTCTGTTCTGGTCACGGTGCTCCAGGCTAAGGGCCTGCATGGCAAGCAGAGCTGGAGGGCGGCCGCTCTGGGTGTGGGGGCGCTCGAGCCTCTCTGCCTACACCGGTCTCAGCACTGGCGTCTGCAGCTCTGGAATGAGACACACTGTGCTCTCCTGGCCACAGATGCTGGAAGGCGGACTTAAGTAATGTTGCCGAAGTGGGTGAATCGAATTTTCTAGAAGGCAGGTTCGATTAGGACACGCCCACAGGCAGGGAGATGCTGGAAGACCAGCGGGATTTGGGAACTGGGGCTGCCACTTTGGGGACTAGAATAGGCCCTGAGGAGCTGCCTGAGAAAAGAGAAAAGGAAGGCCCCGCCTTGGGCAGAGGGTAGGTAAAAGGGGAGGATGGTGGAGGGGAAGGGAACCCGGGATGGCTCCGCCCCTCACCTTTCCCCTTCCCGAGGCGAAGGTACTGGAAGGCAAACCCAGGCAAGGAAGAGCAGGACCGGGTATGGCCGCACCAGACCCAGTGCCGCAGAGGGGTGACAAAGTGGCCCAGACTGCACTGGACGCTGCTTTTTCAAATATTTTATTAATCTGTTTGGCCAAACAGGTAATGGAAACCAAGAATAGTAATTTGCTAAAAAGTTCAGGCCGTGAATGCCCCTTTCCCCGGAAACAAAAGACTCCATGGTCACAGAATGCCCCTTGGGCTATGACAACGTTTCATATGGGACAATGTAAACTTCAAAAATAGTAAACTCTAACCCCACCCTGGCCCTCCTTAGGGGTCTATCACAGATAGAATTTTCTGGCAGACCTAAGTTGTGTAAGTAAACAGCCGGGTGCTTAAAAGTTTCGTAAAAAGGTATACAGATTCCGTAAGTGATGTCTCAGTCCTGGCGGCGAGGGTCGTGGCCACGGCCACCGCCCGGGCTCGATGTCGCAGACCGGGCGCAGCTCCTCAGCTGGACACGCGTACGCTAGAGTTTAATTTGTTTCTGAAGGTTTCTACATTTAAATGATAAGACAGCGCCAGCGGCCTCTAATGTCACCTTGCTTCACAGAGGTGAGACAAGGACTGTGGAAGGCACTGTGACCCCCCCACCGTCTTTCGGAGGGGTCAGCGGGCGGGCTTGTCCGCCCGTCCTGTTTCCTGGCCCAGGCTGTCCTTGGGTGGTCTCTGGTGTCCACTGCCCCTTCTGCTTCACCTGGTCCACCCATCCATCCACCCAAACCGCTGAGAGCTATCATCTGGTTCAGTGAAGTTCCTCCAAAGCAGAACAGCTCTGGTGCAAAACAAAGTGGGACCTACCACGGCTGAAATAATCACAGTGTGCAATGTCGCTCTCTGTCGTAGCATTCGAAACGGCCTTGGCTTGTCAAGGCTCCCGTCAGCCAGACCCAGCCAGGGCCTAGCCTGCTACACTCACCGGAAAGCGCCGCGAGGCTCGCCCTTGCGATCGGCCCGTGGAAGGTCTGACGTGGAAGAGTGCAAGCACATTGGACATGCCAGGAAATACCTAGAGCTTACCGCGGAGAACCGGAACTGTACAGTATGTACACCTCACCCGGCCAGGCTCCTCCCTCGGGCCAGGAACGGACCTCCCCATCAGTCCCACGAGGGCTCCCCAGGGCCCGGAGGAGGCTTCAGCGAGCGAAGGAAGGGCGGGCCCTGTGGGGCCTGCTCTGGGGCCCCAGGCCAGAGTCAGCGCCGCCCTCTGCGGCCTCCTCCTTCTTCCGCACTTTGAGGCGGGTGAGCAGCTGGATCAGCCAGACGTCCCACTCCTCCGGCAGGAGCAGCAGCAGGAAGCCCAGGCCGATGATGATGATGGCAATGACCCGGACCCCATTGAAGACTATCTCACTGGTGTAGTGATCCACCACTGTAGGAGACAGAGCACCAGGTTACTTAGTTGCAGGGCCAGCGAGGGCACGAGGCAGAGGGGCAGGACACAGGGCAGAGGGGTTGAACTTGGGGCAGAGGGGGCGGGGCGTGGGGCAGAGGGGCTGGAGCCTGAGCATATCCATAACTGGGAAGCAGCTATTTTCTTCTGCACTCAGTTCTCTTGAACTGAGGTGCCAGACTGCGACATGCAGGTGCAAGGCCTCATTACAGAGAGGTTTTGCAGAGACAAGGGTGACCCAGCTCACCTGGAGCAAAACGGTACGGGGGATTTCGTAGTCAAAGTGGATGGGAAACAGCCCCACCGCTCTGCCAGGGAACACGTACTAACATATATCTTAGATGAAGTATATCAACGTTGGGGACCAGCAGATGCATAGTGGTTACATGCCTGGACTCCCACGTGGCCGACTGTGATTTGAGTCCCAGACCTGGCCATTTAAAACTCATGTCTGGCACATGTGTGTGGGTGCTCAAGATCCCGGGAGGAGAATGGGGACCAGCAGATAGTGTAATGGTTATGTTGCTGGACTCCCATGTAGTCAGCAGTGGTTTGAGCCCCAGACCCGGCGACTTAAACTCCTATCAGGTGTGTGTGTGTGTGTGTGTGTGTGTGTGTGTGTGTGCCCAAAATACCAAGAAGAGAATGGATGAGAATGAATCGCAGCATGACCATGCCCCTGGGGGTTGATTTCTCACTTTCTGTCTCTGTCTCTCTGGTGAGTGCATGCACCCTATAGCAAAAATCTCTCTCTAAAAAAGAAAAAAGATCCCAAGAAGAGAATGGAGGAGAAGGGACTGGGACATAGCCATCTCTCCTGGAGGTGATTTCTCTCTTTCTGTCTCTCTGGCAAGCGTTTGTGCACTATAGCAAAACTCTCTCAAAAACATACTGTATACCAAAGTTAAGTGGCCGCCTCAGAGTGGCACTGCTGACTTTCTCTGTGTGTCTGGCCCTCCCCACATTGTGTGTGAAGTGTGAGGCTGAGCAACGACCCTTGTCTGTGGGCCAGACAGGCGGCAAGCCCCCCTGCTTCCCTCCTCCAACAGCGGAGTGTGGGCCTGTTGCACGTAAGTCCTAAGAAATGACCCTGATTAGCCTCGTCGATGACCAGCTGTGTCACGGGCAAAGGATGTGTCTACCTAGGACCTGGAAGGACACCCTCCTGCAGGAAGAACACCGTGAGGTTGTGAATTAAAGAGGCAAAGCACGCGGGGAGCAGGCTGGCGAGTGGCTCCTGGACCGCGGTCTGGGCCCCTCTCCCAGCTGCTCCAGAGCTTTCCGCACTTCGAGGCGCCATCTCCTGTGTTACTTCATTTGCTTCTCAGATGAGCAAAGTAGCAAGGGCAGAGGCCATCTCCCTTAGTCAGGAGACAAGAAAATACCCTGGGAGCTGAGAAGCTGGGACCGCGGACGCGTGGCGGGGTGGTGCTGGGCCCACAGCGGGCTCCTGGTGCCTCCCCCAGGCCTCTTCTCACACTGCTGCTATGAGGCGGTCCTGCCGAGAGGCCGCAGAGTCCTGCAGTGCACGGGCCAGGCGGGAGGCAGACCGAGCTGGCTGCGGAGGACGCAGTGTGGGGAGGGCTCCGAGCCCTTCCCTGGCTAAGAGCAACTGGCACAGGGAGTGGGCACGAGGCCGGGCGCTCTGGGAAGAGACCCCCCAAATTCACACCAGCACAAGCCAGGAAAGGGAAAGTGGTGAGGGGCAGGTGACCAGCCTTGGAAGGGCTGTCGACTGGGCCACTTCTTCCCAGGAGACAACGAAGCAGCATCCTAAGCACCTGAGCCGAGGGCACTGCCGCCGTCTTGGGGCAGAGGGAGCGGGGTGCACGCGTCCTCAGCTGACAGCCTGCTTCCATTTACACCCTGAGCATGTCCGCCCCTCAATGTCACCCACGGGTGCTGCGTGTTTCCCAGCTACATGCTTTCCTGCACAGATTAATGACATGGTGACATCCACCACTCTGTCAGCTGCGATCGCGAAGGCGTAGACTTCCTGTATCTGAGGTGCTGTGAACGTCGACCTGTGATGGGGGAAATACTGCACACGTAGCAGGCGCCAGCTTTCGCTGACACGGAAGTGCTCTTTCATTCTTTGCGGAAGGTTCCACACGTGTTCCCTATGAGGCACAGCAGGGGCACCTGTGCATGTATATGGGGCACGTGTGTGAGTGTGTGTGTTTACAAGCAGCCCCAGAGGCCGCCGGGCTTACCTGCATTCACAGGTACACTGAGGACGATCCCAAGAGACATCAGCGTGGGATATGTCACCGCGATTCCGAAGTTCAGCACGACGTTGAATGCTATAGGAGAGAGCGGACGTGGCTTACCTGGCTTCTTCCTGGCCCCTGGCCCCAGTTCTGGAGCAGCCGGAGCCACAGCAACGACTGGTCCCTTTGCTCTGACTTGGCCAACTCGGTTCTTCAGGGCCCCCTAACTTGGGGGTGAGGGACAAACACGCCTGCTCCCTGAGCTTTGGCACCAGAATAGGGGCGGGGTCATCTGACTAGCTTTGAGTTTCTGCTGCAGGTAGTGTTCCTGGGAAGGCCGCAGGACGGGGCGCTTTGGGATGTGGGCTTTTAGACAGGAACTGCGTCAACACCTCTGTGGTCGCTTTCCTGCCTGCACCTGATGTATGTCACAGAATGGTGACGACAGGGAGGGTGACATAGTACGATTACTGATATTTCTGGACCCCTGATGGACATCAGGTAATGGTCTGAGGTCTGGATGTCTCACTTTACCAGGGCGACACCATTACTATGGGACATTACTACACAGCAGCTCGCCCCGGGAGCAGTGACCAGGCACAGGGACTGGGACCCAGCGTCATCCAGCAGCTCGCCCGGGGAGCAGTGACCAGGCACAGGGACTGGGACCCAGCGTCATCAGTGGGCCCGCCCCGGGAGCAGTGACCAGGCACAGGGACTGGGACCCAGCGTCATCGGTGGGCCCGCCCCGGGAGCAGTGACCAGGCACAGGGACTGGGACCCAGCGTCATCAGTGGGCCCACCCTGGGAGCAGTGACCAGGCACAGGGACTGGGAGCCAGCGTCATCAGTGGGCCCGCCCCGGGAGCAGTGACCAGGCACTGGGACTGGGACCCAGCATTATCAGTGGGCTCGCTCTCTCAGACAGAGATCTCCAGAACACAAGGAGAGCAATCAGTCCTGCCCCTCCCCTCCAGGGCCTGGTTTCCAAAGCCCCCTCCACCGTTGCTGCCACTTACTCAGTAAGAGGACAGAAAATCCACAAAGGTTTCCCCACGGAATGTTGTCGAAAGGGCTCCAGTACTCCACCTTGGTGAAGTAGAGGGTGACGGGGATGCAGCTGATGAAGAGGACGTTAAACACGCCCAGGATGGACAGGAACAGGGCGGCTTCTCCGAACTTCGCGCTGCCCAGGAGGAGCTTGAACAAGACCTGCGGGAGGCAGAGCGGGGGCTGTGGAGGCTCGCCCAGACCCTGGCGGGGCGAGCGGGGCGACAGCACGGTGTGCTCCTCTCAGGCTCATCTCACCCGGCAAGGCTTGTGGTGAGGGGCAGTGGGGTCACCTGGCCTGCTGGCACTCACATTCCCACCTCGGCGACACGACACGGAGACCACCCCTGTCGGCTGGGGGCAGCGGGAGTCAGGGCTCCCACGAGGGATCACGCACCCTCCCAGGGGACCCCTGCCCTGGTCACAGGTGAAGCCATTGCCCCAGGAGGGCCGTGCTGTGGGGACACAGTTGTAACTCTGAGGCCCCTCTCATCTCGGCTCCATCTGGGCCTGTTCCAGAAGCAGCCCGGGTCTCAGTGGCACACGGGCTGTTCTCTCTCACACTCGCTTCTGTGTGTACACTATCTCAGGTCCCTGGACGGCCAGCAGGAGAGACAGACGGGACGGGAGTGGCCGGATGCTAGGGCAGAGGGCCCAGGCCGGCCGAGGACAGTGAGCGGAAGGGCGAGCGTGCGTCTCCGCGCCGTCCTGCTTCCTCCCTGTGAGCCACCCCAGGTCCCTCCCTGCCTGTGTGCAGGAGGTTCAGCAAGGGAGGTAATAGCTTTCAGGCTCACTACCAGCCCCTCAGACAACTCTCAGGCAGCTGGGACCAGCAGGTGGCGTAGTGGTTAGGGTGCTGGACTCTCACACGGCCGCCTGCAGTTTAAGTCCTGAACCTGGAGGCTCCAAACTCACACCGGGTGTGTGTGCACGTGTGCCCAAAATCTCAAAAGGAGAATGGAGGAGAAGGGATTGTGTACAGCCTCTCCCCTGGGGTGATTTCTCTCTCATGAGTACATGTGCCTTATAACAAAAATCTCTCTTTAAAAAAAATCCAGGCGTTTGAGGAGATGGACGAGGAAATCTGAGCTGGAACATGGGGTACCTAAAGCTCTCTGGTCCCCGTCCCCATGGCTGACTGACCAGGCCAAGGGGTGGCCTTTCAGCATGTCCAGCATTTAGACAGTGACTCTGAGCCTCGGGACAGTGGGCACTGTCACACCCCCAGTGAGTGTCTCAGGACAATGACTCCCTCCAGGGTGGGGGGCTGGCGGAGGAGGGGTACCGTTACTATGCTTTCCAAACCTGCACCCGAGTGCCCACAGAGCTGGGAGCGCCTGTTCTGACAGTTTTCTGCAACCTGACTTCTCTCTGCTCTGTCTACAGCCACGGTGGACTGGGAGTCACCAAGTTAAACCTCGCTTCTCCTTGGGCTCCGCAGGTCGGCTTCCCAACCCGGAGATCTGGAATGTGTGCGTTCTCTCCCTGGGCTCCCAGGGCAGGAAGCGTGAGGCTGGGGTGGGCGAGGGGCAGAGTGGCAGGGAGGCCCCTCGTGGGGCAAACAGAGCAGGGACCCCAGTGTGGGAAGACGAGTCAGGCTCATCCCGGCTGAGTTCAGTGGCTGTCAACAGTCTGTCAAAAAGACGTCACTGTCCCCACACGGCAGTCCCGCGCTTTTATTGGCCCAGGCCCAGGCCACAGCAAAGCTTGGGAGGCACATGGGGACTCCTGAGCGCGAGTGGCCCGAGATCTCTGTGATGAAAGACACACCACCACGGCATAGCCCCCTAGGCTCCCCACGGTGCAGGGCCCCCCAGGCTCCCCACGGCGCAGGCCCCCCAGGCTCCCCGCAGTTGGCAGGGGTGCCCACCTACCTTGTAGAGGGCGGACATGGACGCGGAGCCCACCACCAAGGCCGATGACCGAGGGGCTGTGGAAGCCGTCGGCGTAGGTCATCATCACGATGCCGGCGATGGCCAGGATGGCTGCCACGATCTGCACGGGAGGAGGAGCGTCAGGGTGCGGAGAGGCAGGGCCACCAGGGAGCAGGGCTGTGCCGGGGTCCACCGCGGGGCAGGTGGGGCGGGGCGGCCCCTCGGCCCCTGGGAGAGAAGCAGGCCTGGCCGCCCATCTAGCTGTGAGCTCGCATGGGGGGCCTTCAGCAGCGCGCTGAGCCAGGCCTGGGGTGGACTGGCGCCGGGAGTCCTAGGAACTTGAGGAGGTGGTCACGGCCAGTGATGGGTTATTTGGTCATGACATGGCCCCTGGGGACAATCTCTGGGCTGGCCCCACCCTCCGACAGCGCCTGAGTGACCCTGCCTTTGTGGATTTCCTCTCAGCGGAGGGCACAGTGGGGACAGCCGGTCTGCTGCATCCGGCTATGGACAGTGCCTAACCCTGCCGTGCGGTTCTTACGGGGCCGCCACCCACAGCCCTCAGTCCTGTCACTGTCCAGATCCTGACGAGTCTCTCGGGTCGACAGGAACGTCGCGGAGGTTACACATCGCGGTGAGTCAGGTGACATCACCAGGCAGCATGGACGAGCTACCGCGGGCGACGTGTCCCAGAGGACACACTCCGCAGAGAATAACCCAGGCCCGGCGTGAGGGGCATGAGGACACCAGCAGCGTGAGGGGAGAGCGGGTGCCGGTGGAACCGGCACGTGGGTCGTAGGGCTCGTGGCCCACGGATCACCGGGATTGGCTTCAGCTCCCAGTGACATGCCCAGGGCCGTGAGGTGCGCACCCTGAGTGTTCGTTTTGCCCTCCAGATAGGCATCGTCATGGCCTCTGTAGACTTGAAAATCAAGGCTCAGGACGCTGAGCACCTCCTGAACCAGCGCTGGTGGCGGGGAGAACCGGCAGCCGCGCCCGGCCGCAGGGCCAGTGGGGCGGGGGG